AACTGAAGCCAGCAGAGAAACTCATACTGGCTTCAGTGCTTTGGATCAGGATGGTAAAGTACATGCTTTTAATGGAGGCTCCTAATTCTTCTCCTTCGTTTCCAGTGAGGACCAAATTTTCATCTCAGTGAAGCCTACATAAATCCCCAATTTATGGGCATTGCTTAGGATCTGTGCTGGCAAAAATGAAATTGGAACCTATGGCCCCCAACTTGTACCCTCTCTTCTCCGTCATGTCAAAGCGCAGACTCCTTCATGGCTTGTTTCTTGATGTAATGGGAAGGCTGTCATCTGTTCCCTTCCATTGGAGGGACTCTGCTGTTAGAATTAGCATTGAAAAGTCATTTTTAGAAGCATCAATAAGTATCAGCAAGTGAGGTTTCAGCTAGCATCATTTCAGATTTCTGGTGCTGAAAGGTTTCAAGAATCATATTTATCTGTGTAGCCAAGTCCTTTGTCACAGATACTCTCCACAATTCTAAATCAAGATATATGACTTCCTTGATTTATTATGAAATATATGCATTTTCTTCATTTGGAAATTGCTACTATATACAGAAATTCTGAATATTTATAGCTGCAACTTGGATAAAATAATGAATGAATTTGCCAAGGCAGAATGTAATTGATTGTGCTTGGCTTGCTAGGTAATGATACAATATAGTGTGACTCGACCTGCTGGCGCAGAACACAATCAGTATGCATGCTCTATCTTGTGGAAAACATAAAATAAACTGCTTAGATTATTTAGTGAGAACCCAATTTGATTAGAATGACTAAAGCACAACATACGGCTTGCAGATGAAAAGCATGAACTTTAAAAATTCACAGAAAAATAAAGCTAAGGCTGAGACTAAAATGTAAAAAAGAACATCTCCGAAGTTATACAAAACTTCCAACCCCATACACCCGCAGAGCTGGCCCTGAATTTCCCAGCACCGCTGGTGTCAGCGTACCCACGACGAAGAATGGCTATTGCAGTCTCTGACAGGGCAAGGGCAGTCCTGTTACTCAGAACATTAAATTTCCTCCGCGCTATGCTGAGACATCCCTCTGCACAGCATATCTCACATTGGTATCGCATCCTTCTGTCTGGTTCCAAAGCTGTTTACCGCCACGTCTCTATACAGAAAGCATGGGTGAAACCCAACCGGGAATGCAGCCCCTCGGCTCTGCTGCGCAGGCGCGTTCCCCACACTGGGGGGGCACTGTGGACTCCCCCTCCCTGTGTGGGGTGGGAAAGAGCCTTACGCAGGCTGGCTTTAGTACTCCGAGGAACGCTGAAGTTCATAGAAACCAAGAAATCAAGGCAAAGCTCAAACCAAAAGAGGAGTTTGAAAGACAAGAGGTGAAGATGAATGTGATAGTACAGGATAACATCATCATCATCATCATCATCATCTGTTAAGTTTTAGGACTGATGGCCTTTGTTTTTCAAAGCAGGAGATAATTTAATTGTGCTTAAGAAGAAGGTGAAATGAGAACAGATAGCTAGGAAACTTTTGAACATCAACACTGAATAAAATATAGCAATATGGTGAGAATTTAAAAAAAGGACTGAAGAAATGGAGTTGTATACTTAAATGCTATGACAGTGGGCAATACTCAGCCACCAAAGAGGCCAGACACATTTCCCCATCCACTGGAATATTTGGAATCAGTTATAGATTACAGAAGAACTAAAAAGAGAGGTTTTGTTTGGGGGATGCACATAATTTTAAGAATTATGCACTACAATTTAATAATCTATCTCAAATTTGAAGTCATAAATCATTACATTTTAATACAATAACACCCTGAACAATTAACATCTTGAATTACAAGTATATCACCAGAGTTACAGCAAGTTAACATGCTGTATTTGTAGCTTCCACAGGCCTGGGAACTGTTCAATGCACTACAAAGACATCTGCATATGGGATAAGAATATAAATGCAGCTGTTTATAAACTCACTGTCCTGCACGTCATGATGTTGCAAGTCTGTATTATAAAAAAAATGAAATGCTAAAGAGTCAAAACACTTCAGACGCAATCTTCTCCTCAGTTTGGTTTCAGAGGCTCTGAAGCCCAGTTAAACTCATTTCCTGCATTTTCCATGGATTTTCATAGATTTACTGCTACAGGTGCAATAAACCTGTCTGGTGATAAAAGTAGCGGTACAGGGAAAAAATCATAACTGTTTCTTGAAAGTCTCATAAAATTATATTCTGCAAGGGGCACTAAACCACTCAGTTGATCCTAATTCAGCATAAACCCATTTGCTTCCCAGTGAAGTGGGGCTGTGCCCATTGGCCAGTGCAGCAATAAGCAGAAGTTGCTGCGTATGTGAAGGAGATGTACAGCTGGGCTGGGAACAAAACGGCTTTTTAGAGGCTAGGAAACAAGCAAGTGTACACAGTCTTAGGAGGGGAATTAATTTAGATCGTTTAATGTTAACATATTAGACTTCATTACTGAGCGCAAGTTGCACATTTCACGGTTCTACTTCCTCGTGTAAAATGATACCTGATAGTAAACCAGAAAGAAAAGGAGGAGGTGATCTGACTGAGGATAAAAACATGGTAACAAAAGAAGTAATCAGATAACTAAGTGGGCTTTTAAATCTAGATGCTCTCTGAGTATAGACTCTCTTTTCAAATTTCTTCTGCAATGTAAATTTGAAGGGTATGAAAGAAGACATGGACAGCTCGGGAAGTTGATACTACGTTTGAGGTAAAGGCTCTTCCACAAAGTCCTGACAAAGGTCTTCTCCTTATCAGTACTTCAGCTGGGAAGAGCAAAGGAGAGCCGCACATGGGTTATATGGATTGCAGGTTAAGTACAAACCACAAAGGAAAAGCAGTGACGAAAAATGGAAATACAGTCTTACTACGCATGGGGTAAGAGGCTTTCTGGAGGAATGGAGAGACAAGAGCATTGCACCAGGTGCTGGAGGGACCTCTCCTGCTTCTCAAGTTGAAGGGACTATCTCAGGAAGGATGAAACCCAACCAGATGACGTGCGGAGAAGGGCTTGCTCTGATTAGTGAACTAGGGGCTGAGAGAGGATATGACTGCTTTCTATTGAAGTACCAATGGAGTAAAAGGAGACTAAGGAGACAGAGGCATTCTTCATGCTACAGGATACTCTTGGCAGAAAGATGAGTGGAAAAAAACCAGCCACAAGTAAATTTATGCTGGAAATAAGAAGGCTTGTAACTGTTGGAGTAGTGATGTTCTGAAACAGTCTCCCAGGGAGAGCAGTGGAGGTAAAAAACCGAAATAGGCTGAAGTAAGAGTTTGATAAGACTTTATGAAGAAGACTGCATGACAAAGTTAACCGTAGAAGAATGAGATTTTCGGTTTTCTTATCAGATGAGTAAGGGGCAGAGGGGACCACCAGCTTACTTCAGAGGTGGAACTCAACCAGTTTATCAGGACAGACGATGAGACCTTGCTTTCAGCCAGAAAACCTTCCAGTTCTGAGCCTTCTCTTCTTGCGCACTTTATCAGTACAGGTCTTAAAGGGAGGCCAAGGTGCCGCTGTGGTTGAGAGCTGGCATGCACTTACTGTAGCAAGACAGGGCGTCGATGAGGTTAAAAATTCTGCCTTCCTGGCTCTGCTAACGTACCCAACAATTAGACACTGGGAAGAACTGAAACCTTTTATGCACCTTCTGCCTTGCAGGTGCCTGAAGTTTAAGGTTTGCATTTGCAAAATTGCCTTTTTTGTTAGGTTTGAACAATGCTGAGCACGAAGCTGTCCAACCCCTGCTGCCTTTTGAGTCTCTCCCTCTAACAGAGTTTGATTTTGCTAGAAGGCCACCACCACTGTTTTCAGAATTATATTTGTCTGTCTTTTACTGTGTAATATAGCCATTTTTCTTAGAAACAGGGGACTAACATCACTAAATATATTTTGCTATGTGTATCAAATAATGTTATTAACAGGAGATAACAATTTTTGCTAATACCGAATGTCAAACACTTTGGATCTGAAGTGTGGGGCAGAAAGAACGAGGAACCAAATCACCATGAGACAGACCTGTGAAGCAGCAGACAACCTCTACATTGTGTCCTCAGTCAAATTTTTGTCTCTATACTTGCTTTTCTTCTGTCCACAAAATTCTTAAAGCCATAAAACCAAAATAAAAGGCAATATCGAAAAACAGTTTTGTGTTGGACTCTGAAGCTTTGAACTTTCACTGTCTCGTTCAGATTCATTCAGGTACCATTAGTATCACAAAATCTGATTTGAGCTGGTTAGCTACTCAGAATTTTAAGGCTTTCACTTACCTAACACGTCTCTGGGCCACCATTTTAGCTATCAAGTAACCTCCCTCTTATGAATAAATGATGGTACAAAGCAATTGCCTCCAGCACCCTGATGCTACTTTCATATGATGGAGACTGGGGGGGATATTTGTGAATAATGAAGTGCCATTCCTTGTAATCAGAGACCAAATGTGTGCCTGTACAACACAATGTTTTAAATATTAGAGGACCTGAGAGGTAAAAGTTTAACTTCAACACAAATCTGCTGCACCTTTTGTCATTTACACTAACAGGCAAGACATTGGTTTGGCTGACAAGAAAGGTGTAATTCACGTACAATTACAAGTTATAAATTCAGAATCAGCATGAATGAAACAACCTCGTTCCCAGGCAAAAAAAATCTATGACATTTCTGGAAGAGTCTTCCCCTTCATGCTGCTACCCTGGGTCTGGTCACAGCAGTTGGAAGTTACCTCTGATAAGTAAAATGAAATTAGTGATACAGTTGTTGATGAACAGGTACTTAAATCTTAAAACTCGTAACAACAAGACCAAATGAACTCTCTTTAAAAACTGGAAATCATAAAATAAAATTGGTTTTGGCGTGGGAAGCCTGAAGTATAAAAAAAATCTGCACTTTTACTGTGTAGATCTAACAAAGCTTGGAGGCTGCTTTTGTTTGTTCTGCACTGATGGCTCTTCAGGCACACTGCTATTACCCAAATACATCTCTCATTTCCACATACCTTGTAGTGGAAGAGGAATAATCCACAGAAGAGGCTGTACAGGTCAGCTGTGAGTAGGGAGAGGTTGACGGCAGTAGCACTGGTTTTCTTTATGACCACTGGCATAAAGCTGTAGAGGCCAAACATACAGGCACTAAAGCCAACATACAACAAGCCTGTGGAAGAGAAACAAGAAGCAACGTAACCTTTCATAGCCTGCAGAAATGGCTCGTGTTGGGAGGAAGAAGGCTGTGCTTTTAGAAAAGAATGAATAATGCTTTTTTCAAAGAAACATGGATTCAAATTATTAAGATACACATATAGAGAGAGAGAGAGACTAAGAACATAATTCTAAATATATAAGAAAGCCAGTGAAAACCACATCAGCAGTGGATGCGAGGTCCTTTCTCTGTGGTCTCCATGATAGCAGTGCTGTTTTAAATTGGCGTCTTATACTACTGGTGAATACCTCATGTCCAACATAAATTTGGATGAAATGATGCACATCAGACCTAGTCTCTTAAGGAGCTGAATTTTCCCAACACCAGCTGAGTTCAGCTGAGTTGGATGGAGCACGCAGTATTTTCTGGGACCCAAAAAGTGAATGCAAAAGTATTTGCAGAGGAGTTAGTGAGCCAATGGATGAATGCATGAGGACAGCAATCAAGTGACAGAGGCCCTAGTTCTATTTTGCCACCAAACCTGACAAATCACTTCACAGTTTTGCACCTCTGTTCCTCTACCCCTTTTCGTCTGCCTTCCTCAGTAAAGCTTTCCAGAGCTAGGACTCTTTCTTGCTACATGTTTACAGAGTGCCTCACACAAATTAGATTGTTAGACACTAATATAATAAAAATACATTACAGTAAAAATCTAATTTCATTTAAAAACCTAAATAACTTACTGGGAAAGAATTCATTGCTTCAGTTATTACTTGATAAATCCCAAGGCAAATTAATCAATATGAAGTTAAAAAGCCAGCAAACACTTCACTCATCTGCTCTCATGCAAATGATATTTCTTATGCTGCCGTATGCTGCAGAATTCCCAGCTGATATGTGCACAAGCCTAAATTTAGACTCATGCCAGCTCTTCAGAGCATGTTGTTATTGACTAAAAGTTGCAGAAAATCTGATTGCCAAAGTCTTGAAAGGGATTAGAAGCGGGGGGGGAAAAAGCTCATATGATTTGTATCTGCTTGCAGATCCACTTAGTTAAAAACTCTTTAGAAAAGCTATCTAAATGACAAAACCAGCTATAATAGTTTGAGTCCTTCAGAAGCATCTGAAGTGTACATTCATCTGAAACAAATACAGCAGTCACGAAATGTCAGTGTCCATATACCAATTGTTATGGCATGATAATGAATTTGAATTTATATTCAGAACATAGATAATCATGGTAAGAACTTCTTTTACTAACAGGTAGCAAATTTTTAAGGTGTGCATTGTATATGGGTAACAACAGAACCAGTCTTAGACAGTGCTTGAAAGAGTTGCTTTATGCAAACTCTGCAACTCTTCTGTAGTAGGCAAATGACTGCATCAAACAGAGCGTAGTCAATGAGAAATTGTTTGCATACATGAGCATTAAGTCAGCTTTTCTTCCAGGCTTAAATCAAGAACAGGTCAGGCACAAACCCCAATCTGCACCTGAAGTCAGCATTCTCAAAGTACAGTCTGCAAGTCACCAGCTGGTCCACCAAGCCCCTGCTAGTCGGTCAGGATTTAACACACTTATTCAGGTGCTTTGTTGGGTTACAGTCTCAACTAACAGTATAATTTTATGGTACTGCCTTGGTGTTCATATTCTTTGGCAGCCAACTACATGCACTTCACAGGCTGCTTTTCCAAAGGGCATTTCAGTTCCAGTGGAAAATTGCTTAAACTGTAGCTGTCCTATCAGAGGTGACTATAAAGTGGCATTTCATTTACATCTTAAAAATGCATGTAATACCCACCCAGCTGGATGGCATTTAGTGGTGACAGTAAGCAAACTGGAAATAACATCCTATGATTTTCAGATATTGCTTCTCAGAGGGCCAGTTTTCAGACTAAAAATGTGGTTTAAGTCAAAGGCTTGGAGCCGCAGCTTCCTCGGGTACCCCTGCAGTGCAAACGGCAGCGGGGGGAACCACGACTTGTGCTGCCGCCCCCGGTGCTGGGACGGGTGTCTAACCCGGCACCGAGCCACCGGCACCGACTGCCCGTGGCAGGATCTGGAAGGAAGCGACCTGGTAAGTTAGAAGATGCTTTTGTAATGATCAGCTGATCCGCTGGTCTGTGTTAAACCCTGACAAGCTCATCATTTGTAACCGTCTGCTTTTAGATGTGCTGGCATTGTCCTGAACTGAAGGTTTAATGTGTGTGAAGGCAGCTGTGGGTGGGATTCGTGACACCTAGCTCTGGATGCATACTGTGGGCTGGTGGTCAGTGAAGAGACTGGGAAATTCTAGGGTGCAGATTGTCCAACCTCTTTTAGACACCAGCTTTAGCATAGTATGATTTCTGTCATGCCTGTTTATTGTTGCTGATGATAAAGGGAGTCTATTTATCTAAATCAGATGTCCACATCCCAGGTATCTAAAGTCGGTGGAAGGAATTCCATCTTGTCGTCAGCGTTCACCCTGATGGGTAAGGTCACCAGTTTTGCCTGGTTGGGTGTGAATGCCTCGTAAGTGTCTGAATGGGGCACTAAGGATCACAGGATTGTGGGGTGATTCAGGCTGGAAGTAAGCTCACGGGTCTCTAGCTCAAACCCTGCTCAAACCAGGCTCACCTGTGAGATCAGACCAAGTTGCTCAGGACTTTGCCCAGCCTGGTCTTGACATCTCTGAGGATGAAGACTACGCAACCTCTCTGAACAACCTGCTCCACTGCCTGCCTGTCCTCAGTGTGAAGAAGATTTTCCTTTTATCCACTCTGAATCTCTCATTTCAGCTTCTGCCTGTGTCATGTTTTAACCCCAGCCAGTAACTACGCACCACCCAGCCGCTCGCTCACTCCCTGCTTTCCCAGTAGGACGGGGAGGAGAATCGGAAAAAAAAAGTAAAACTCGTGGGTTGAGATAAGAACAATTTAATAACTAAAGTAAAATAAAATGTAATACTAACAATAACAACAACAACAATAAATAATAGTAACAATAATTATAATAAAAAGGAATATAATAAAATTAAATATTAATAAAAAATAAATTAAAAAAACCCCACAAACAAGAAAAGACAAGTGATGCACAGTGCAATTGCTCACCACCCACTGATCGATGCCTGAGCAGCGATCCACCCCTTGCAGCCAACTCCCCCCAGTTTATATACGGAGCATGACGTTCTATGGTATGGAATATCCCTTTGGCTAGTTCAGGTCAGCGGTCCTGGCCATGCTCCCTCCCAGCTCCTCGTGCACCTGCTTGCTGGCAGAGCATGGGAAACCGAAAAATCCTTGACTTGCGATAAGCGCTACTTAGCAACAACTGAAACATCAGGGTGTTATCAACATTGTTCTCACACTAAATCCAAAACACACTGTAACAGCTACTAAGAAGAAAATTAACTCCACCTGAGCCCAAACCAGGACAGCCTGTTGTCTCTCATCCTCCTGCCATGAACCACGGTGAAGACCTTGGCTCTGTCCTTTTGATAACCTCCTTGTAGGTAACTCCTCAAACCCTTCTCTTCTGCCGGCTGAACAAGCAAGACCCAACCCCTCAGTATTTCCCCACTTCTCTTAAGACTAGGCATCTTCACACAGATGGGCAGGATCTGCCCCCAGGGACTGCTCTAAAGTAGCCCACGTACCACCAAGACTAACATGCCTTGGCAATATCAGTTTTAGTTCCTGAGCATGCTGGTTGGATGTTGCATGTTTTAGCCTTTGCATTTTTACTCCAAAAGCTATCGTGTCATTGGGATGAAATGGATTCAGTTACGATTTTTCATACTGCCTTCTTAGAATGAAGACCATTCAGAAATATTCAAACCCCCTGTAACAAAGGACACTTCCTTGGAGATTCAAATTGGCTTTTCTCTTAAATAAAACTGATGTTAGTTTATTTGTTATTATTTCATCTATCACTCTACAAAATGTGTCATGATCACATATGAAACCACTCAGTCAGAACAGTATAATCATTCTCCTTTCAGTCAGGTTGTCCGCAAGTATTAATACTTAAACCTTCAAGGATTCAAACAGAGCTACGCTGATTTATACGAAGTGTGAAGATGATGTTATGTATCAGGGGAATTACCAAAATTAAAATCAGGAGGGCCACAGCCTGTTCTAAACATGATAGACGTAACAGATTGGCTTTAGATCTTTATATTCAAAAATCATTTGCATTTTACATCAGTTGAAAGGTAGCTCATCCATTCTTAATAGCACAATTATGGCAGATGGCAACAGGCCACCTTGAGTTATATATTAGCTTGCCTGCTGTGACTTTATCACTACCATTCAGAAGGCTGATGATTTAACTCTGCTGGACTGTAGGTTTGAGTCTGTCGCAGTGGATAACTATTCAGGACAAGGCTGTGAACACCCTGACATAGATTTGTCAATCACTACTTGACAACCTTGTATCCCTGCCAATGCAATGGAAAGCATACCAAGTGCAGTGGAAGCCAGGGAAGAACACACTGTCACCATTTAATCCATGTTCAACTACACCGCGTTTCCAATTATTGCTTTAACAAAACAAGTACGTATCTATGATGCTCTTGCTAAGATGATCTCCTCCTTATGAAGCGTAGGGACTCTTCAGAATTAGTGACTAACTTTCAATGACATTTTAATGGCATCACAGATCAAGTAAGGCTTTATTTTAATAGCGCATTTCACTGATATTGAGTTACAACAGAACTCCCATGGAAGTATATATGACATTTACACGGATAGTAGATTAATTTACTATGACCATTGCTAGTTCCATCAGTACCAGATTAATCATGTCCCTGAGCTCCTTATCATGAAATATAAACAAACACTGATGCAGTTATGCTAATTATCTCAGATTAAAGAAGGCCAATACACTTATAGTATGTAGTTGAGTGTGTTTCTCCATGGATACTTTAAATTGATTTGTCATTTAGTTGCACAGCTCAACCATCAAATCTTCAAGACTTCTAGGTGCGGTGTTTTGTGAAGGATGCACTGGTTTTATTAAGGTTTATGATGATGAGAGGAAATGGTGAACTAAGTTTAAAGAAAACAACAGTGTATTCCATAACTTGTATCCCTTGTCCTCAGGGATTCCCCTCATAATCAGTTGCCTTTGCACACTTTTGAGCTGTCATTTCAATGTTCACTCTAAAACTAGGTAACAAGCTATTGTCAATGGATTGCCAAAGCTTGAATCCCCTGCCGAGTACATCAGCTCTATTCTATTGGTTTTCTTTTATTTCTTCTATTGTCATAAATAGCAAAAGAGTGATTATAGGGACTCTCCTAAATGTTGATTTGCTTTTAAAGCAAATAATTTGTTGGACTAAGTAGAAGGGAGTCTTAGATCATAAACTCAGCTTCCAAACTGCAAGGGGAAAATGCAATCCACTGCATAGCAGAACACCACAAGAGCTTCATTGTCCATGGTGCTACCTAAACTTGTCTAAAAGACACATCTGAGATATTCCACCAAGACTACTTGGAAAGCAATTAACCATTTGCATACAGAAATGCTCCCCTTGGAAATGAGTTTATGAGGCTATAATATGCACTGCAAGTACTTTTTTTTTTTTTTTGTTAGGTTCCATTTTCTTTCTTTGGCATTCATTGAAAAGGTTTGGCTCTTAATGACTACCTCATTTATTTGTCCCAGTGTTGCACTGAATCTCAGGACTGGAACCCCATTATTGTTTTACTTCACGGCTGTCTGAATAATTATCTTATGGCATTCATATGCTTAACCTAATGGTGCAAGGGAGGCATAATACGGCAATGGGAGGACAGATCACTTAAGAAAGGTTACGAGGCATGTGGTTCAACCTTTGGCAGTAACTGGCGGAAAAGTCACAAACATTGGCTCCTGTGAAACTTTGTGCCTGCCTCCCCAAACATTGGTTGTCTCCACGCCTCCTTCAGCAACTATTTTCAATGAAATAAAGTGTTTTCTTACCTATTTGCCAATCCCAGGGAACTTTCAACAGCTCTTTGTGTTCCATGATTGCACTATAAGAGAAAAGAAGGCAAAATTTGATGGAAGAGAACAGAAGTTAAATTACTTCCACTCATTCAATTCAAATGCTGGACAAAACAACATAAATAACCTCATAATAAAAAATCTCTGTAGGAACCAAATGCAATCAGACTTTGCTAATCCACTCTGGCATTATCCCTGTGCCCGTGTATTTGAAAGATCTTCAGAGCAGTAATCAGACGTGATAGCATACAGTTTCCACTGGTTTATTTCCAGCTCTCCATATACCTGCCCAAAGTGCCCATCCCCCTATACGTTCAATCCTCTTCTACTCTTCCGACTTAACATTCTGAAAGCTTTTGAACTTTAATGATTAATAATGTATCTGCCTGAGTTATTCACCCTTCAGAGCGGCTCTGCAGTGTCAAATAAATAGATATCACAGGCTGGCTTTGGGGAGAATACAGTGATTTGTTACATGCTGAGAGAGATCAAATAGTCGCAGCAATGAAAGTCAGGAAATAAAGCAAAGGATGGGCCAAACCTTCAAACTTCCAACATCTTGCAATGCAAGTCTTGCATTGTAAATTAACATCAAAATCCCAGATCCAGAAAACTCTAAGGTGGCAACATGTCAGCTCTTCCCAATCCAAGCAAATAGACCTTTGGAGATTAGGTATCCCACGAGCTAGGTCTTCAATCAGCTAACCACCTTCTCTGATCTGTGATTTCCAGATAGCTCCTGCTGTGCAGAACGCTGCATGCTAGTCTGGACACTATTTTAAACAAGTATAAAACATGGAATTACACAGATCGAAAAACAAAGTACCTAGTACAAAAGGTGGTATGCGGAAGACCAAGCCTAACAGTAAAACTGCAGGAACTCAGTGCCTTCCAGATTAATCTGGTCTAGAGAGTTGCATCCCGGAAATTCTAATTTGCTTGCTGTTGGTGTGTGGCAAATCCAATACTGTGTACAGAACAATAAGATTATTTTGTCTGCAAAATAACTAAATTATAAGTGTCTTTGCATACATAATGCATATATCTCTTTTATCAGCACTTCCTGAAGAATATCATGAAAACAAATTGCAACATCTCTTGCTCTGGCAAACGAATTTTGATATAACTTAAATGTAGGAACATCACTTTCATACTATTGCCTATCCGATACAAAAGAAGTATAAAACAATATGCTATGGTCTGTGATTCATTATGATCTGTGAAACAAACAGGGGTAAGAACAACTTTGCCAGAAGTTGCCATTTAGTGATGCCAGATTCACTGAAGAATTGGAACCACAATGATCTTTGAAAGGTTGTGGTGATTAGAGGGGGTCCCTTATGACTGAAGAGAGACAAATTCAACATCCAGTTTCAAAAAGAGCAAAAACTACAGCCTTCCCAGCTTTGCACTAACCTTTGGGAAGATTATGTAGCAAATCTTCCCAGAAGCCATTTGCAGGAAATGAAGAAGACATGAAACAGCCAGCACAGACTTCTCAAGAGCAAACCATACCTGACTGCCCTCTAAAATGAGATGACTGGCTCAGTAACTAAAGGCAAAGGAATGGATGAGAGGATGAGGTGTAACCTACCTTGACTTTAGCAAAGCTTCCAACATGATTTCCCAAAAGATCCTTAGAGACTGAAGAGGTATGGACTGGATGGGTGGACTACCCACAATGTAGTCTGAAGAAAAGGGCCAAGAGAAACCTCGTGAAGTTCAAGAAAAGCAAATATGAACTCCTGCACGTGAGGTGGAATAACCCTATGCAACAGTACAGGCTGGGAGCTGGCTGCATAGAAAGCTGCTTTTTAGAAATAAACCTTGGAGTCCTGGTGGACACCAACCTGAACATGAGTCAGCAATGTGTCCTTGGAGCAGAGCAGGTAAGAGTCTGGCCAGCAGGTTGAAGGACATGATTTGTGATACAGCAGCTGGAGTACTATATCCAATTTTGGGCCGCCCAGAATAAGACAGACATTGACAAATTGGAGGGAGTACAGTGGAGCTCCATCACAATGGTCAGGTGGCTGGAGCACATGATGTAAGAGGAGATCCTGAAACAGCAGGGTTTGTTCAGTGTGAAGAAGAGAAGGCTAAGCTGGAGGGGAAGGAGGACAGGACAATAAATTTGCTGTCTCAACCACCTAATGGGTAGTTACAGAAAAGATAGAGTAAAATTTTTCTGGGTAGTGCACAAGAAAAGGATGAATGACAATGGACACAAGTTGCAACGTGGAAAACTCTGACTACATGTAAGGAAAAAAAGTAGTGGTCAAACACTGGAACAGGTTGCCCAGCAGGACTGGCATTTCAATTCTTGGAGATATTAAGAAGCCAACTGTAGAAGTTCCTGAGCAACCTGACACAACTTTAAAGTGAGCTTTGAGTTGCTTTGAGCAGGAGCTTGAACCAGATGACCTTCAGGGGTCCATTACAAAGTAGGTTATTCTATGATTATGTGATTCCATCAGACAGCATTATCTCCATTTACTGTGTAGTTGCTATATCCCCAACTCTTGTAAACTAATTTCTTCTCTTGTTTTGATATACAGTTCCTCCCTGCTTTAATCACATTCAAGCCGCTAAATTTCTCTTTCCACCACGCCCAGGTAGTTAGCCAACTCTTTCCCTTACTTCACTGTTTGCCCTGACATCTTAGCCCTTCATTTGCTGTCTAACAGGCATTATCTGGGTTATTTTATGTTACAGTCTAATATTAAGCACTCTTGCTAAACTGATCTAGAAAACAACAGCCTACTTGTAGGTCCTCTTGGAGACACAGCCCTGTACTAGAGCTGAGGCATGAACTAACATGGGGCACCCACACTTATGTAGATATTTGTAAACACACATGGAAAAAAAGGCACATAACACAGCTTTTTGCTACTACATTATTTTGAGATCAGTGCATGTCAATAAAGGGGACATTCACTTGTGGGTACTGTTTTGTCTTTCCTACATTCAGCGTAGTCCTACACACTTTTTGATATTTTCCCTTCTTCAGAATTGTACTGCTCCCTGTAAATCCTATGAACATAAGACTTACACCTCCAGTGGTATTAGCACACGTGCTCCCCATCCTCAATCACTTTGTGGATGCCAACCAAACTTTCACCAGTGCTGTGTCTAGCACGCTGGGAAATGGCACTATTTGAGACATTCCTTCCGCAGACTACTTCAGTTTACAGAACCTAAAGGTCCTATATTGCACCAAAGTGGCCAGTAGTGTTTCAAAGAAAGAGTCTGCAATTGTAACATGGGGAGCTGGCTTCTCTTTGAAACAACTGGTATATTTAGTTAGATTAAACCTCTGTGAACACTAACTGTGTGATGTCTGCTCTTCATTACAGGTAAAGGCAAGAAAATGCTGGATTGCTTCACGGAACCATGTAGCAGAAACATTACTGGTCTCTCCCAATGTGCAAGCTTTTGTCACTTTGTTAAAAAAGTACATATATGAGCTAAACATGGTCGGGTCTCCACAAAGTGCCACAAAAGCACTAGCAGCAAAAAGCTGCAAAGGCCGGTGGAGAAAACCCTGCTGGCGAGAACTTTTGGGCCAAAGGTTGACTAGAAAAACCTTAGGGCTTTCAGCAAAGAAATGGTTTCTTATTGTTTCCTTCCAGTTGTGTCCTCTGTATACAAAGATGCCTTGTTCCTGCACCAGTTTCTTCTCCCCAGCAAAACAACTCACAGACCCTGAATTGTGACTAACTGCTTGGGTCAAGAGGGGCTAATGGCACTATAACTAAATTCAGGAATACGAGACATGTACATGACAGTTTACACACACAGAGCAAGACAAGGGCACTGCCTTGATGCCCTCAGAATCAGTTAGTACCTACCCATCATGAACACTGTAGGTAACAAAAATGCTTTAGCCACACGTGCTTTAGGCACATTTACGTGCTCTTGAATTCTGTATTTTTAAAAAAGGAACTGCTTGTACAGCAGCCAGTTAATATAAATAATTTTAAATCACGTGTTCAGATCCCACATAAATATAATAAGCTTTCTGGCTTAAGAAATAGAACTAATTAAGTGGGAATTGATAGGTTATTGTTTTGACCAGTCTCTGTTCTTAGAAGCTAAGTAGCTCAGATGTGCAGGGAAGCAACATGGTTTTGACTAATAATCAAAAGTTATTCTGTGTGACAAGCACCAGTGACAGATCTGCATAAAATGTGGCAATCCTGCATGGTGACTTTTACTATACTTTCATCAGTCACAGTATTACAACACTGGAAGCTACCTTCCACCTCTTAGGCTTGCAGGTGAGATGCTTATTAGGTACATGTGGATATAGACAGGACTCAGTAATGAAAATAAAGTGAAATCCATGTGACAATCACATGAGTACTAAACATTTTGAAGCGAAAAGGCCAGTTTCTCAAAGGCTTTTTCATTATTTCCGCCATATCATAATGTAGTTACACAGAATGAGCCAATCAGTAAAATACCTTCTGACTGGATGTGTTTTCTACCTGTTTAGAAATCTAAGTGACTTTTTAAAAGTTTGAAACACAACCAGAGAGAGGTCTAGATTTTGTTATCCACAGATCAGACCAACATGTGAAGTATCCACTTGTCTTCCAGCAACAAGATGGTAGGATGTGTCTTCTGCTCCTGCCTCCCCACGCAAATACTCAAGGGCACCAGCCCTTGAATTAGAGTACTTCGGTATAAATTTGTGTTATTCAAATCCACTGATCTGAAATATGAAAACCAATGTAAATTCCAGAATTAGAGGGTATCTACTCTCCACAGGAAAAGGCTACCTTCGAAGAGAGGGTGAGGGTACCTCAACGGAGGCCACAGCTGCACTTATTTGAACGACCTTGGGGCTCAAACCTGCTCACTTACAGCTGAATTCCACTGAAGAAGGAGCCAAAGAGTCCGATCATGCCCAGGAATTCCACTCGACTCAGATTTCGGACAATATACTCCTCACAAACGTTCGAGATGCCGTATAACGTTGCTCCGCCCAGTACTAAGAGATCCCCTATCAGTTTATTTTCACCTAGGAATAAACAGGGGAAAAATCAGAATGTCTCAAAACAACCATCTTTTGTTTAGAACCGTTGCAAGTTCTTCCCTATAGATTTCAATCCTCAGTCACTAAGTAGCCCACATCTGGGTTAATAAGCTGAATGCAAATGTTCTGTCATTTTAACAGTTTCCATTCAATACCCCAGCAAAATCTAGCAGAGGCAAAGGGAGAGTATTATCCTTGCTGTAGATAAGAGAATCTGAAAGAATCTGAAGAATTTGTAAAAACATATAGAAACCAAGTGGCATTCTTCAGTGACTAATCCTTTTTATTTTATTATCATTACTTTTTTTACAGAAAGAATGTGACTCAGCTATATAGAGCAGTTTGCATCTCATCTTGAATTCTTACTGGACTAAAATATGTCCATTATTTAGATGTGGAAACAACTGAAAAATTCCGTGTACCTGTGAAATGAGTGAAGAAATCATTACAACACCAATACTGACCCCATTCTCACATGAAGTTGTTTGACAAGAAAGAGAGGAGGAAGGATGGGGTGTAGACAGGGCGATGATAATGACAGATTTTTTAAGAGGTTCAATTAACATAGTAGTACCTAATGCATGCAATGAACACCAAGATGTATTTTCAGTACCTCCAGGTATATATAATCACTAAAACATTGTATTATCAAAGACTGTTTGAAACCTTTTTAAGTCTTGGAGGCTTTTATTATTGGCGGGTCAGGGAGGGCCGCAGGGAGATCAAGTTCTGGCTTGAAAACTGAGGCCCTGGCATTGCAAACTGACGCATGCGATTCCCTCTGCACATATGGCTTGTTAAATGATTTCTACAAGAGCTACAGCTTCACAAAGCTGTCAGACATTGCTGCAGAACCATATTCCGAAGGGCTGGCTATAATGGAATTTCCTTTGAAAAGGTTCAGTAGAAATGCTGAAGTACGAGACTATTTTTTTTTTAAAGAAATCTAGTTTTCTTTTAAAATACCTCTTGATTTATTTTTTTGAGTTCCTGCCTTTTTAAGTTTTATTATTATTGATTTGTAAATTACACACTGCAGTAAATAAAAATGGAAGCCAAACATTCTGAATGGTTCAAAATTATCTTTTCTACATTTTTCTTTATGGAGTTCTCTTAAGCCTTCAGTTTTCATTCCGAACTACAGCGCTGAAATTTCCAGGGAGATGAAATTTATGAAAATGAGAAAGGTCATGAGAGGAGAGACCAAGGGTTCATTTATCCAGCATTCTGTCTCCAACACTGGCTATAAGCACTAGAAAAGTATAAGTTGTTTAGGCACAAATAGGAATGGGGTGAAGTTTACAATACTCACAGTAATGCTCTCTTAATCTCCAACATTTTTCTGTTCAGAGGAGATGTGGCTTCTGTGTGTTTAGCAAACATTACTAGATTTCTCTTTCACGTACTCATCCAGTCTCTCACTGAATTTCTGTTATGCATGTACCTTGACTGACGGCATGTTTATATTTGACCATTTATCTTTTTAACATTTGGTACTTATTTTCCTTTTAGCCTTCTTTCGCAATCAGCCACGGAAGATGCCCTTAATTTAAAATAAGCATCAGCACTTTACAAAACCTCTTCATACCCCTGATGCATTTGATGTTCCACAGTGGCTCCAGTCATCTCTCACTGAGCTCACTCATTTGGTATTTATTACAGCTACTCACTGACACTTCGGGGAAGCACTGCTGAAAAAACTTTTGACCTTAGAGCTTGGCTGTGCTGAACCGCCGAGACAAAAATATCATCCTTTTGCATCTGTGAAACAAAGACGGCTCAGAGGCTGAGCGTTTTCATAGAGATGGGATGGCCCCGAGCACCACACCGCGACGGCTCTCCCCACAGCACGCTGATGCTCGGAGTGTGAGCCTCAACCTTCACGGCTTTCCCAGAAGAGGAAACCAAGATCTGGTCAGAGCACGGTCTGCCCAGCCCAGGACCCTCTTCTGGCACTGGGCAGCAGAGGGTGGCTGAGGAGAGCATAAAGAAATAGGGAAGCACAGCGGGATTTTTATCAGCCAGTTCTCAGTAGATCAGGGATTTTCTGAGATGGAAGTTGCATTAGACCATCAAACTTAACAGATCTTGAGGGATTCTTCGTTAATTTGTGTAGTCCGTCTATTTTTGGCCTACTATTAAAAAGTAATTAATGGTTTTAGCTTTTAAGCCTGATACCTCAAAATTATATTGGGCATCCCATAATTTTCTGATTGTGAGAAATATTTAAGAATCACTCTGTATTGACCCTCTCCATACCACTGAAGACTTCATGTACCTTTATCGTATTCTGTCTCTTTCTTGCCTTTTCTGAAAGATGAAAAGTCCCAGTCTGCCTACAGTCTCTTCATCCTGAAGCCATTTTATGCCTTCGAACACCTTTCTCACCTTTCTCCATTGCTTCTATAGGCTTATTTTCTGGTCATTTCTTTTTGAGATGCAGTGGCTAGAGGAATACATGGTACTCAAAAGGTTAGTGCATCAAAACTTTATATACTGGCATTAAAATGTTTTATACTATATTTTTGGTTTCTTTCCTAATAATGCCTAGCATCCTGGTTGTCAAATGCCTTTTCTTTGCTTCCTCAAGAGGCTGACTTTGGAACTTTCCCCCAAGATTGACATATCCTAATAGACATATTTTCATGGATGTAAAATCCACATGCATCTACTGGTTTCATTGCTAAGGAAGTATGTATCAACTGACTAGAGGCATTCCAAAGACTTTTAGGTTAATACAGTTGTCCTTGACAAATTTAATGGTGTAGGTCATTCTTCTGAAGAAACACAACGCTTAGCTTGGTAAAACACACTTTGCATTAATCATTCTTAGCATATTTAATGTTCTCTGGAAGCAGAAGTCATACAGTCCAGAGGGGAGTTGATCTTTTGGGGACTAGTTATAGTACTATAGCGTATCATAAATCATTTAAATATGAACTATGTCTGACACGATTGCTTTTCACACTCTTACTAGGCCACTTTGCCACATTTTCACCTTAACCCCCCCGCATTAAGAGGTGTTTCTCTTTCTTTGCTTTTGGTTGTAATTACTGATGATTGTAATATCTAAAAGGCAGTCTCAATGTGTCCCATCTTAGATTAAACGTACACTCATATTCTTATTAACAGGACTGAAGTGAGTGGTTTTCAGAGACTGGTAAGCTAAAGCTGTGAAGCGCTTTGAAAAATCTGGGTGAAGCACTTAGACCTCTGTGTCTTAGACCTCTGGGTATTACAGGAGCACAAGTACCAAGGTACCTCAGGGTTATTAGTTCCGTAAAGTGTTATTTTAAGGTATACTTGGCATGTAAGGTGATAGAGCACAAAGTACTTGATAATAATTGCTTTCCCCATTGAGTAATGTGCAAAACATCAGTCAGGATACACTAAAAAGAGGTATACTACCATATATTTATTGAAAGTTGAGAGCATGCCTGCGCATTATATCTAATTCCTGCAGATAGCTTGGAAAATACCTGTTAATCTCACAGTGATGCATTTTAAATTCATGTTCCCGTACTGCAAGAGTTGGCAGGCTAGACTGCTGTAGGCAGTAGGTGCCTAGCAAAGCCTTATGGCACTTCTAATACAGTAAATAGTACGGTCAACAGGGGCACACAGGTGTCAACAGATCTTGTCCCCTAAAATAGAGGATAAACAGAGGAGTTTACAGAGGACTAGTACAGCATCATTGTTTTTGGTGTACTCCTTTCTTTTGTTTGCCCAGTCCTAGGAAAAATCCTATAAATGGTGTGGAACCCCTTAATGAAGAGTTTCAAGATTTTTTTCTTTTGCTGCCAATACTTCTTTTTATTTGTGGATTTTTAATGTATAGTTCTACCCCTTCAGATAAATTAAACCAGCTCATCTATTTTACTCTGTTAAAGACAACATCATTAATAACATAATTTTGCCACTTAAAAATAAAAAGGTGCAGTCTTTCTGTGTAGCAATAAGCATGGACACAGTTTTTCATGCGTAGGTCCGAATTAAAAGGCAATAATGCATGTTAACAGATTTTTCTGGACAGATTTACCTAACAGCTATACCCTTGCTTTAGTAATGAATACGGCAAACAATATCTAATTATTGCATTTGCACGGCAAAAAGTCAGTGTTCTTCAATCTGTTCCTTGACCGCTGAGGTCCATTGCCCCACATGGTCCTGCTGATCTACAACTCACCCGCGTTAGCATCTTACTCTCTAGATTACTGGGACACGGGATATTTCCTCTGGAACCCAAGGTTCAAATCCCAATCCCTCTGAAATCAGTCATTCCCAATGCAGTTTTGGCTGGCTGATTTCATAGTACAGAGTATATTCTTTCCTTTTTAGCTGGGGCAGGGCTATTTCTGGAGGAGTCCTATGAACTAAAAGTCTCCTTTTAGGATAAAGGACAGGGATAAAAGGGGGCAGGGAGATATGGTGAGTACTGTCACAAACTCCCTTGTTTTATATAGTAGCATCCTGGCAAATGCAGTTCTTGCAGCACTTGCATTTGTATTCAGAAAGCCGAGTCAAGAATTTTAAATCCCAGTGTATTATGCTCAGCTCACAATTCAGTGCTTTTAATTAAGAATGAAAACTGTGCCTAATTGACAATCTTTGAAAAGAATTTCCAGCCTTCCCACATCATTTGGGTTGACACTAGAGAAATCAATGTGACAGAGGAAGTTGATCGATGACATCTAACTCTGTCTGGTCTGCATTAATAGCTACACACACATTATTCATATGATGCCACACATCAAAAAGAACATTTTACACACAAGAAGGTTCTTTTCAACAATGATGCAGGCAAATCCCAAACCTTTACTCTGAGACTGTGTGCAAAACTCAATTGCTACAGTTAATATGTAGGTTCAGTGTCTTTTAGCATCTACCCAGCGACCCCGCCTCTGTACAAAAAAGGAGCAAAGTTGAGAAGTAAGAGTACACAGTGGACGTGAGAGGTGCTTATGACTCAAAGATGTAGCCAATTTGGAAAGGAAGCAGCTGAGGTTTGCAGTCAAACAACTAAGCCAAAACAGAATGAAACTGCAAGTATTTCGCTTGTCCCCCCAGCCTACACAGAGGGTAACCTGTGTTGCAGAGACAGGGCCCATGCTGCCCATTTGCAGCAGTGTTGACTTCTAAGCGACGCCCCATTTTTGCTCTCTGTCCCTTCTGATGAATAAGCAACTTTGAATGGTGTGGTGCTTTGGATCCATGAAGGCATAGGGATTCTTGGCGATTTTCCTTTTTGTTTTTTTTTTTCCCCAATCTGACATGTTCTGGTCAGCAGTTTCTCTGCACAGAACTTGGTCATACAACCCATCTGTCCTTACTCACCTGCTCCTTGCTGTCTCCCAACGAGGACATCTGCTCCTGCCATGCAGCCCATGCCCAGAATGCAGACCACAATCCCAATGAAATGTACTGCCTTGTATCGTACCAGTAAGAAGAACCAGGAGAGCAGTATCACCACTGGGATGACAAAACAGTCTAGGAGCTGTCAAGAAAGAGAGGAAAAATCAACACATCAACCTGCTAACACTTTGTCCTAAAATACTAGGATAGATTCCAGCAGAGGGGAGCAGGGTTTAGTTAGTAACAGCACATCCTACAAGACAGAAAGTGTATTCAAGTGGTTATGTGACCCATCAGACAGAGGATAAGACTATTCTGTTCATGACTGTTCCACGAATTCAGGAGAGCTGTTGCTCTATGGCAACACCCAAAAGCACTGCCTTGCTCTTGGATTCAGATGCATATTTCAAATCCATGGGAAGGAAACCTGGGCCAAAATAGAGTCACACCACTCCATCTGGTCCTCACCTCTGGTGATTAATGGACAAAGACTGAGGGCGGTTTTCCTGCAGTCTAGACATATGCTTTAATTCAGTCATTTCAGGTCCAATTAGCAGGAATGATCATAACGCATAAGTTGACCACATGTATTAAATCTGGCCATATAAATCAAGGGGTTTCTGCATGCAGAATACTTATGAAAAATCTGCCCCCTGTGGGGACTGTTAACTCCTTGAAAATACAGTCCTATATGCCTCTGAAGGAAAAATTAACAACCAAAACCCACCATGCCTGCAGTGCAAGAAACTTAGTCTTCTTGCCAATAGACCCTGGGTGAGAGCTTTCTCAAAAAAGTGTTATGAAACACAATCTTTAACTGTTTTTTTCAGAGACACCCAGCAATAAACACAGAGAACCTGTGATAAAAAAAGAAACACACCAAATGTTCGTGAGAGGACCTTGAGATTTTCAAAATAAAATTTATTCTAGAAACTACCACTATGTCACCAGGAAACAAAAATCCTGGGTAAGAAACACTCAAAGAAATGACTTTAACTCACAGTTTTCCAACCTCATCACAGTTTTCCACTACTTAAAGTGTGGCTACAAAGAAGATGGAGACTCTTTCTTCCCCAGAAGCCTCATAGAGAAGACAAGGGGCAACGGGTACAAGTTGCACTGGGAGAGGTTTCATCTCAATATAAGAAAGACATTTTTTACACTGGGAACAATCAGTCAGTGGAACAACCTCCCCAGGGACGTGGTAGAGTGCCCATCACCAGAGGTTTTTGAGATGCAGTTGGACAGGGTGCTAAATAATCTCATCTAGGCTCCCTTTCCCACAAAAGGTTGGACCAGATGATCTTTGGAGGTCCCTTCCAAGATGGGCTGCTCTATGAGTCTAACTTAACTGGTAGTTGACGTCAAAACAAGGTGGAGGAGAAGCTCACATGGGCAGGCACCTGTATCATCTTGGAGAAAGCAACCAAAATCTGTCACCAGTAAGAGCCACCTTTACCTGGCTCAGTGCACATGGCTTTCCTTCCATGCTGTCCTCCTGGAGTCACCAGTAACCAGTAGGTTATATCAAGTCAACTAACTTTGCACTGGAGAAGAGGAGGCACCCTTACACTTAGAGCTGGACGTGAGTAAAATAGGACCAGCCAGTGGTACTGCACAGTCTGCCACCGCCTTCTTCAGGTGAGCACCTAAGATTTGAGCACCCTCTTCCCCATACATACGCAGACACATACCACCTCGGAGACAACTGTGCCCAAGACAGAGCAGAAAGCCTTATACAACAGTTAAGCACAGAGGTGTTTTAAGAAACCACTTATTAAGTAAGATGGTAAGTGTCTGCAAGCATCTTTCCGTTTTTTTTCTGTGCAAAGGTGAGTAAGTGAACCTCAGCCGTTACTGGACCAACTATTCGATTTCATAAAATCAGTAGCTTCGGTCACTCATGCAAACAGGATTTAAGATTAGATTTAAGAATATGAAGATGTCACCTTTAAGCCACTAACTACTGTCTCTCAAGAGACACAGAGTGACCCAGAGGATAGTTTTAACCTCTAACATCTGGAACCTCTTGCCCACCTTTACACACAGGACATGACACTGCCTGTTCATTGTGGGACAGGAGCTCTGATGAGGGCTGCTTTACTTACTCTGGGCTAAGCATACAAAAAGAACATTTTCTTGTGAATATGAGATATATTATGTGACTTCAATAGCCAGTTTTAAAAACTGTTCGTACCCACAGCATGTGGACTTCAACATACAAATTCCCACTAACAGTCTTTTAGGGGAAGATTTTAAAAATTCCTTTTATTCCATAAATATTTAAACATACCTATGCTTTCAAGTATGTGAAGATGTGTCTTTTAAGCACTAACATGAAAGGATGCATGAACAGAACCTGTCACAAACAAACAACACTGACAGCAGCTGGAAAATGCCCCTTTGGGGCTGGTAGTCCAAGGTCTAATCCACAAATCACTATTTGGAGTACTGCAGCATCAATAGATATAAACATTAAATGTAGGTAATGTTCATTGACATTATACAGTTCTTGAATTGTGCTTTTTTATACCTATAATTAAACAATGGGGTAGACAGAAATAAATTGGATTACTACAATATAAGCAGTAAGATAACGCAGTATATATTGCTTAACTATTTTTCAGGTACTGCTTTACATTTCATTTCTCTGGGAATAAATTCACTCTGCTTTTCTTTTTTCCTCAGATAAACCTGTCTAGTGGAAGAAATATGCATATATATTCTACAGACAAAACATGTGAGATTGTGGATTACCTGATCTGCAATAGGGCTTTCTTGTTAATTTTTTTCCTTGGTTTCTCTTTCTTTTGTTTGTTATTAGTTATTTCATTAGCTAGTCATTATACCTAATTGTAATTTTTCTGACATAAAGCTTTTACAATAACAAAGATAAATTTTGCTTAGCTTGAATTTCATTTATAATACATAAAGGTCAGTTGTTTACCAGTATTTCCCCAAGAATCATCTTCAGTGTTTTCCTTCTTTTTAATTGCTTATTCAAAAGGTACTGCCTATACCCTGTCATTATGTTAAATTAATGAGCGACCTGATTCTAATCAATGTTCCTGTTAATCACAGAAATTATCAGATGTCGCTAAACTAAAAGAAAACATATTTCCTATTTTGCCATGGGAAGATAATACAACTGATAGGAGTGTGTGGTGCAACCAGGTTCTTTGCCACATTTATCCGTGGTTTTCTTCATCACAGCCCTGAATTGGGCTGCTTTAGAAGACAGGATAAAAAAATATATAAACTATTGATATACCATCCTACAGAAATGCCTTTCTATCATAAAAATGCTGTGTTGTTGTAGAGGTTGAAGATTATTATTTGACCCTAAAAGATATCACACTGCATCTAAGTCTGTTGATGATACACAATGTTGAAAAGTGTTTCCTCTGATTACTTGTTTGTTAAATTACATTGACTCTGTTGTACTTGTGAATCATAGACAAATACTCTCTTGCTAACAGTAAATACCCAGTCTCTGATCTCACAAATTCAGCATGTGTTTGCACATCTATAGCAGGAATGTACTGTTAGTCATTGGAAAGGAGAGCTGGCAAGCTTTAGAAGAAAGGTCTGTAATATAGAGAGTGACCTGCTGATCTGCAGCGATATCAAAAAGAAAAAAGCTGGTCAGCAAACTCCCTATGGGAGCAGCTGAGCTGAATCTCCCTTTTTAAACATTCATTGGATTTTTTTTTTTCCCCCCGTTATAAGCCCTTTTTTTCACATTAGGGGTTTCTCATTAGCACTGCCCTCCAGCAAATTATGCAGAGAATCAGCTGCACTCTCTACTCAGCCTTACTCTCCAGAGCAGAGGGATCAGTAAAATCAGCATCGTATCCGTCCAACCTTGTATGGTCAAGTACCTGTGATGGCTACTGAATTTCAGCATGCGACCTGCTAAGTTTAATACAACAGCAAGTGCTATATCCAGTAAGAGGCACACCTTCTGACACTTGCTTTGTTTTTTTCAAAGGAAGAAAGGGTTTGCTGCCCATTCGAGGGCTCTTTCTATTCCAGTTTTCACAATACCATACACGCTTGATTCAGCTGTACGAAAGCAGCCGAGTTGTGAACCCTCCCAGAGCTGGCTGCCGGCTGCCAAGGGAACTGCGTGGCAATTATGGTATCTTGTGACTGAAACCTTCTGCAGGGAAGGTGTGGATGCTAGTAGCATTTCTGACAGGGTTATTTCAAGCAATTAAAATAAAAAAGGAGCATTTTTGTTACCTTTCGTGTTTCTATTTGCTATCTCATCATAACTTAATCACTTTCTTGCTTGGTTTTTATATAATCACGGAATTAATTTAAAAACTATTAATTTTTTCACCCAGCCAAAATGTAGGGTACTTCAGGTAGGGAGACGGGTGAAAGAATCAGTTAGTGTTGTCATTTGTTTAAAAAATGTAAAAATGTTTAATTTCCATGACACAGAAGAAATAAAAGCCAGAAGACTGACTGCTGCCAGTCTGAAGCCTCTTTAAATCAGTATTTTGCACACAAGAGCTCTAATTTTTTTCTTGGGGCCACATGACCGATGCTTTTATAACTGTTCCTATCGGTTCCTTTAATCTGTTCTTGGGATTTTCTCTTTTTCCCTGCAGATGCAGAAACTCCCTCAAAACTTTCACTAGTGAAAGACCTTCACCTACATCTGACTTGCACACACCAACACCTGAGATGAGGATTATCACAGCTCCAGCTTTCTGTGTACATAGAAGGAATTCAGCGACTTCTTGAAGTTATGTTAAATGGAAGGTGGTGGTCACATCCAACCCACAGTTCCTCTGCTTTTAACTCTCTACACATGGACACTCTTTACTACCAACATGAGTAACTACATCTTGACTCTTTTTAAAAAAAAAACAAACTTAGGACACAGCTCTTCATCCTCCCCTCTCATTAAATGCACTCCAGCAGTGCTTATGCAAGATCTGCTCAAATACCAGGAAGAGTTACCAACAAACTGACCGCTGAACTGGCCTTTCCTGCAACTGCTTTCCTCCTCTGATTTTACATACCACTGTCAGAAAAAGATCATTCTAAGACAGCAGACAGCTCTGCCAGCAGTCACGTGTTTCTGCAGAAAAAAACTATTTTCTGTTTTGCTTCTCTTTAAGTAAGATG